CTGAATTGCTCAGAGCTGCTGGGCGAGAGGAGAGACAGTGCGGCAGGGCTTTAAGGGCAGAGAGCAGGAGGGATGGTGTAGAAGAGAAGCATTTCTTTTTACCCGATGCTGAGTCTCTTGTCTTTTGTACTTTACTTTTCTTCTATCTTAGTGTCTACAATGTAGATTGAAGTGAATATATTTGAAACTATTTTATTCTTTTTTATGTATTTTTTTTTTTTTAATTTTTGGTGGAACCGGGGATTGAATTCAGGCCCTCGCGCTTGCCAGGGAAGCACTTATTCCACTGAGCCATCTCCTATTCTTTTTTATATAAAGGTCTCTTATCATAAGTGGACTCAGGAACAAAACATATGTTGATGACTTATGATGGTCACTTAGGCTTCCTCTGTGCAAAATTTTTTTTTTTTTTTTTTTTTTTTTTTGGATGAGTCTGAATCCTGAGACACAGATGCAGACAGCCCAGTGAAAGCTGTGTAGACCAAACCCTCTGTGTACAGAAGCAGACGCGGGGCCTGAAGGGCAAAGCTCGAAAGCTGCGCCGCTGTAGCTGCACCGACAGAGCCAGTGGGACTGACGCACGCTTCTGGTTCTTCAAATGTGCTTATGTACACCTGTAGCTTCCGTGAGGATGCATATTGATAAGCTAAAGGCAAATATTTATTCATTTAAAAATAATTCCCTTAACGTGCAGAAATTGGATACAGATCAGTAGATAAAGCCAGGAGATTGAGGCTTTTTAGGCCATCGCCCTTAAGCTTCCATTGTCTCAGAAATGTCCAAAGTGTGGTTACTTTTCAATAAATATTCTTGTTAAAGTCATTCATTTTCCAAAGAAGGACGCATAATAAGTAATCAAGATAGTTGATATAAAATGAAATTGTCCCCAGGTACTGGAATATACAGCTGTCTTAAAATATCATGTTTCTTGGTGTTTAATGCTATTTCCTGTGTTTCAAAATTAGCTATTTTGTGTGTATTTCTTAAAATGGTGGTTTGCACTTATTCTGCTGTTTATCAGTATGAAACTAAAATGTAAATTAAATTGTAGGCATGTGAATAAAATCTTGTTTTTCTCTTGACCAAACCTCTGGCTGTGGCTATATCTGTCAGGCAGAGAGTAAAGAGAATGTGTTTCTAACCCTTTCTCCTCACTAGGCAAAAATGTGTGACATTCATTACTTAAAGGAGCAGAAGTGTATTTTGGATCAGCTTGTCTGTCCGTGGTTGCCCGGCTCCAAGGCAGATGCAGGATGTCAGAGGACCGGCGGAAGGACAGATGTTCACACCACAGAAGCCAGGAAGCAGAGAGAGAGAGGAGGACGCAGCAGCAAGACCGCCCCTTTCCGAGTCGTGCTCCAGAGATCCATCTCCATCCAGGCTTCACCGCCTAACAGAATATTTAGCTGCTGAGCTCACCACTGGAAGGCCCCACTGATGAATACAGCTCACCCTGATTAATCCCTTTCTTATACACATGAGGATTGTAGGAGATTTTTAGATCTATATCATAAGAGAATACTTGTACTACTTTTCAGTCTTGGACAACAATGAGAGCATGATCCCCCAGCTGGGGAAAAAAGCTCACAGGCCAGCATAGGACTTTGCCATGAAGCTGAATGCTGAGGCTGCCCCTGTGAGATCCAGCTATCCAAAGAAAGTGAAGGACCCTCTAGCTATAGTTAGGCCAGAGCTTACAGAGTGTCTATACCTAGCAAGGGTGAGGCAGAGGCCTGCATGCTGCTGGGACAGGCTCAGGTACTGGGCCCGGCCTCCTTGCAAACTTCCTGTGGACTTGGGCTACACCCACACTCAGAGAAATTACTCAAGTTTTTGTGACTGAGATTCAGGTGTGACCGGCATTAATGTCAGCCTTGGTAGACAAAGGGCTGTGTCAGTCACCACTCCTCTACTCTTAGGCAGCACAGCTATGGCCAGACTACTGCTGAACGACTGGGCCTCTCCACGTGGTCTGACACCATGTAGAAAACTTAACTCTGGCAGGATGGACTTGAGTCTCTCTCAGTGTCTCCAGCTGCCATGCTGTCCCAGGAGCATCCCTGACACAGCGGGGGTCCACACTGTTGCAGTGGAGGTCCACATGGCTCTGGGACTCAGCTGAACCCCACTTCCTATTACTTTCCCTCAGCAATACTACGCCAGCCTTAGACACACAGTGTTTTCTGCGGTCATGATAGTAAGTACAGAACCTCACCTGCAGCTCTGGGCAGGAATATTGCTAGCTAATGAATCGCAGCACTGGGGACATCTTAAGTCCTGATTCTGGTGCCAGTGTCAATTATAAAACCTCTGGAACTAGCCTTGGGGCAGGTGAAGAAAAAAATGACCTCAAGCTGTCACACTCCAGGGAAGCTGTGAAGCAGCCGTTTCTCACTATTTAAGGCTCCCAAGTCTGCATCAGCAGTGTGCACAAGCGCTGGTCCTACCTATAGTTGTTCAGGAGTAGGTGGGTGGTGCATTCAGGGCATACCAAAACATTGTGGCATCAGTACCCCCAGGCATGGCATCTCTATACCTGGTGCTGGTACTTCCACGGTGGTTCTGCCCAGTACTGGCAGAAAACAGATTCTGCATGGCTCGGTAGCAAGCCCCTAACCGTAAATAAGGCACCTGGGCCTACCTTCCTGAGGAAGAGGCTGTGTGTATGCAGGTACTCTCCATGTTCATAATGAACACTAGTCGGAAAAAAACCATGTAGCACAACACTTACTTTTGTTTAATTAATTGAGCCTTTCATCTATGTATTTTGTTTATTTGTTTTACTTCTGTTAGCACATGTCTGCAGTACATAATGTTCCCATTCCACCGCAGGGGATTGGTACACGTAGCACACTTCATGTCCTGGATGGCTCTCTGGTGCTGCCATGGTGACAACTCACCAATCGTGTGTTCACAGCACACCTCCGCAGCACACCTTGGCTTCATTACCAACTGATGTAGCAGAAGTGATTTAGGTTCAAAGAAAAACATGTACAGTTATTGGGAAAAACAGGCTCAATCAAAGCCAGATTACAATGACTATAACATATAGCTAATTTTCGATGCTTAGGAGACGTCATACAACAAAGATGAGGTGGCAGCTTTCAGAAACCCAAGACCACATCCAAATGTCAAAACAAGATAAAATGAGTGCCATATGGTACAAATATGGATAGTTAGTTGTCATGTTTGATCAGCAAAACAGAGCTTTCTCTAGGAGGGAACCCACAAGGATGTGCCACTATATTATTGGGAAGAAATATAATGATTATGTAGATTTTCTCATCTTTAGGCATTGTAGTAGCATCTCATATTAAGATTCAATTAAACCCTGCTATTTATGAGAGTTCTTGATTCCTTTGGTTTTATATATGCAGTGATTCTCTGAAACTTCAAAGCAACAAGTAAAACCTGGCCTGAACACACTTTGCTAATTTATGTAACATAATATTGGCTAAGAATTTTGAGTAAGGAATTGATAAGCTCCTCTGGATGTCTTAAGTGAGTTTTATCTTTTAAGGCAACCTTCAGTCTGAATTCAATATTCTTTGGACAAAAGATTGAACAGCTAATTAGATATCTTTAAAAAGACACGTGTACGCCTTTCCAAATGCCTACTTTACTCGATGACACCTCCGCATAACACCATATTTTGTGCTATTAGATGCATATGGAAAAACTGGGGAACAACTCCTAAGGCTGGTCCTTTCAGGAACACAATGCAAAATGCTGGTGAAAGTAAAACAAAATCGAGACTGTTTCATGATGGCTTTAATGCTTAATTCAAGCAACAAGACCTATGTGTACAAATTCTTATGTAAGAAAATAAAGATTTCTATCAAAACATATCTCTTAACTAATGAGCCTAGGGAACCACCATACGCTGCATGCCATGGGGAAAAAAGTGACAATCACATCATTACATTAAATATGCATTAAATATCCATGAATATAATTGAAGGCCAGCTTGCACCCTTCTATGAGCCTGACAATTTTTCCCTAATCTTTCTTACTTGTGCTGTATATATTAGGTATTTGTGGAGATTTAGTGCAGATTCAGCTGTTCAAAAGTGTGCTTTTTAATTTTAATGAAATGAATTTTGCAGGTGGTATTTGTAATGACTAAAGATTAAATGAATTGTAAACCAATGCTATCATGTTAGCTAGAAAAAAATGCTAAATGCTAAATATTGGTGTATATATTTTATGTTACAAAATGTAATCTGTATGAACTCACTTGTAAATTACTACTACTTTAAGTGGATCTTTCTATACAGTATTGAAATTTCAATGTTGGATTTACAGTTAATAGTAAAATGAAAATTATAGTAATTATATGCATATTATATGCTTATTTAATCTGTAGCTCTGGATCATTTTATATACACCATTTTTTCTCATATTTTCATGGTGCTTTGAATCTAAAATCTTTCTATAAAGAACTACTGTCAAGAGCTACATAGCATTATGTTTTACAGTGATCAGCAGTATATAAAATGATAGTTGTCTAATACAATTATATTACCTAATAACCTTAAAGATGTCTTTGCTTGGATAACAATTGTCAGGGATGTTTGAATAGCGAGAACATTACTCAAAGGCACAATTCTCAGAACATGTCACTTGTCTTTAAACAAAGCATGACTATATATATATATATATATATACTTCGTGAACATGATATTGATTAACTTTTTAAAAACAATACATGAGGACACTTAGAAGTCATCATCTGTACTATATTGTTTCAAAACACTAACATTCACTAAGAAGCAAATAAAGATTAACTATTTATGTTGGTCATTTATTTCAAACATAGCTTTTGATTGCTTTTAAAATGCATTTTGCCACGTGTTATTAAACTATCATTCCACAGTAACATTTCTAAAATTGTAAATCCAAGAAAAGGTTATGTAAAAATAGCCTATACACATAGTGTACATTTTCCAGTCTACTGCAAAAGTTTAGAGGAGCTCACCTTTGGTGGATGTCTCTCTTACCTGTTTGTGAGCATGGTCATATGAATTAATGTGGTTGTCAAATTCTTGGTGCTTATAGTACTGCTTGTCACAGAGTTCACAGTAAAAATTAGCCTTCAGATCTTCCAGAGCTTTTGCAATGGTATTCTCCTTTTCAGCATAGTCCTGAAAAATAAATTAGAAGGACTCAATTAGCTCTCCTGAGCTTACTTTGTTTTGACAGTTGTCAACTTCAGTATAATTAGAAATTCAATATAACAAAGAGAAAAATAAAGCAAATATCAGAAACTAAATTAGAACCAAAATTAAGAGTTAAGGATAGAAAATCAAAGATTAACAGGTAGAACCAAAGAAAATAGAAAGAACAGCAGAAATATGAAGAAGAACAGCAAGTTATAGGAGTTTTGTGTTGATCAAGTTTCTCTTCTATGGTAGTACAAGAAAGAAAATAGTATGCTTTTGATGAGTCAAGTGTATTTCTGGCAATAGCTTAGTCAATATAACTTTTCTATTTTGAATATCTAAATGATGTATTGCTTCAAGATCTCCATACTGGTGTGCCTATATTCAATTTGGTATTTTGTTTGTTTGTCTAAATACTATAGTAACTTAGTACTCTTCCCAAAGAGATATCACTTGACTAATATTTTTATCTTGGTTGATGTAAATTTATATGGAATTTTTTGGTACAGAGAATTGAACTCAGGTTCTCACACTTGTCAGGCAGGCGCTGTGCTGTGACTACATATCTGGCCCTACATTGAAACTTAAAACACCATTTAATCTTTGAAAATAAAGTAATTTTCTGTAAGTCAGTTATTTTATCTACTCAAAGTGAAAACAATTAAAATATATTGACGATGCGTTCATAATACGTTCAGTGAATAAAGTTGGCTATGCTACTATATCTCTGAGAAAACAAAATTTATGGTCAACTATCATTAAGTTTTGTTTAAAGAACACAAAGTAGAAAAAAATTGGCTGTGCCTTCCAATTTCCATGTTTAATAGTAATTGGTGTTTCATATCTGCTTGAACATTAATGTTGACAGACATTAATCAATGTTAGGTGTTGAAATATTGGTTTTTCTTTCCCTAAAGTACTACTGTGAAAAATATCTACATTTCACTCCTGACTAGAGACTATATTTCTAAATTAAAAGCTTTCTTTTATGTGACTTCTGTGCAATTCAAAATAACCATATACATTTTTTTGTGCTGGGCTCGAACTCAGGACCTCAGAGTTGCCAGGTGCTTATGCTGCTGAGCTATCTCCCTGGTCCTTCATGTGCTTCTCTAAGAGATATTCTTAGAGGCTGGACATGAGATGATGTCATCTTAGAGCTGATGTCTGTTGTCTTCTTTAAATGTAGGCTGGAAACCCCTCATAGTTTACTTAAACTGTTTCTATGAAATCTAAAATGGGTCACTACTAATTTAATGAATAATTAATATACTCCTTAGTTTGTTGCACATAGAACACATATATTTCCCCATGATATAAGTATATGTCTTATAATAATCTACCATTTGTCATAATCAATGAATATACAGAACATTTTATCATTTAACCAAATGACAGCAGTGATCCATTGTCAGGGTTGATTAGCTATATCAACCTCACAGGAAGAAGCACTGAATTGTAAAATAATTTAAATTGATTGTATATGATTTCACTGGTTTCAGTAATTAGCTTACCATTTCTTAACAGATTTGTGAACTATTCACAATTATTCTACTTGATTACTTCCAATATGTTTTCAAAAGGTAGTTTAAATAAATGGCTATGATTCATATAAATCTAAGCTCCTTACTGAATTTTTATGCAGTCTTTAAGATCATGCTGTCTGTGCTAGTCCATTAAAATGAAACAAAAATTACTTAATATGATTTCACAGCTAAAGTGTGTGAAGCAGAGATAGTATTCCAGTAAACATAAAAGTTGCATCGTAGTGACAACAGTTTTGGTTCAAAGATGAATTTGCTCTCAGAGAAATGCTTAAGTAACAAACTTGCTGATTCTTTCCATGAATTGTAATTATAGTAAAGTTTACTTCTCTAAATGTATGATTATTTCTCATAATATTTTAACTGTTCTTATTCCTAACACTGGTATGCCACTAGTGGAATACCACTGGTAGCAATAATTATTGTATTATGACAACAATATTATAATACTACTGGTAGAATATGAAGCACAACTTGGTAGCAATAATTATTTTTTACCAAGTCTGTGTAGAAATGAAGAGCAATTCTGAATGGAATACATTAATATTTATGGCAGATTGCTTTCTTCACAAATATTAGATTTGATTTGAATATAAAAAATTTCAAATAATAGCCATAGGTAACATTTATTTAGTACTTATTTAGCCTCAGAGACAGTAAGGGATTAAAAAAATAAAACCAATTTATATTGTATACAGGTACAAATTCCCTATGATGACTGTGAACATTATGAGTATCTGAAATGTACCAATAAAATTAAATACAAAACAATTTCCTCAATTTGCATGTAAGGATATTAAAATGTAGAAATATTAAATATCCAGCTTCAAGTTATTTAATAATGGGGAAATATGCAACCAGTATTGGAACCCAAATAATCTGGTGCACACCATTTAATTATTTTTAAACTCTTAAGCTTTAGCAAACAATATCATAATCTCTAAGTTTTCATCATTCCATTAACTACACAATATCAATCCTGTTTTATTTATTCTCATCCACTTTTTTATGTATTTAGTAGAGGATCTACAGGGCCTCACTACACAGATTAGACTCACAGTGATCCTCTTGTTTTAAGCTTTCTAAACTCTGGGGCCCCACACCCATTTTACCCCAGGGGTGGGGCTGGCTGGGCATGGAGATCGAACCCTGGTCTGTGTGTCTGCCTAAGCAGGTGCTTTACTCCACTGAGCTATCTGGCCAGCCCTCATCCAGTCTTATACCACTGCCTTAAACCCATAATTTTATTTCAACTTGTACTTATGCATTTATTTGATGCAGGATCTGCTACACAGTTCAGACTTGTACTGATCCTTCTGGCTCAGCCTCCCCAGCACTGGAACTGCAGGCATGTGCCACCACACCCAGTCTTGGTGGCCAGCATGATGTTTCTGGGATTCCAGGGCCAGCACAGCATGTGGTACTGGGGATCAAACCTGGGTCCTTTTGCTTGCCAGGTAGGCATGTAGACCCCCGAGCTATCTTCCTACTCTAGCCCCAGAAAATTTTCAAGACAATTCAGAATTTCTAGTATTTTATATTTAAATATTTACATTATGTATTTTCACTGTAAGGAATGAAAAAAAAAACACATAATCACAAAGCTATTATAAGGCCTAAATAATCAAATAAAAACTAAATGAATCACATGGAATCCCTCACTATCATTAAATATTCAGTCAATGTTTTCAAACAGTTCTAATCAGTTAATATTTTTAAATAGGTCTGTACAAAAAAGATTCAAAGGGCTCACATATTGCCACTATCTGATGTTTTTTCAGGGTCATTTTCTTATTCTACAAGTTATTTTTCTTTAGTTTACAAGTTTTCTTCTTTTTCTTTTAGTCCTTTTCCTTCTAAATTATGGATGATATTGAAATAGAGACTGGGATTATAAAGCTAATTAATACATATTTGACATAGTCATCCCCCTGCAGAAGGTAAGAAATATACTTGAATAAAACAGAAATGGAACATAGTTGTTCATATGCATTCGACCTCAAAAATTCTCCTTATCTCAGAAAAATTCTCTGTGTTCACCTATGAACACAACTTTTTCAGTGTCCTCTTAATGTGATGGTAGAAAGCAAAGAAGAAGAAAGGAACCAATTTCTTGTCGCTGCTCAGGTAATCCAAACCCATTTATTTCACACACATAGTAAAAGATCACTCCTTGTAGTCAGGAAGTCAATATTCCTATAAGTCTAAGGTCATGATGTCAAAATTGTTTTGGTTTGCAATACTGACAACAAGGAAATACAATAAGCTTTGAAGATCAGCCAATAGGAATAGAGATGGTAGTGGTCTATCTGCGGCCACAAGGTCAACCCACCCACACTATAGAAAATATAAATAGTGTAAAAATAAAGCCCTGAGGAGAGAAAACTTTCTTTTTCAAAATGATGCATCTCATGGTGGCTTCATTATAAAATATAACATCAACTAGTATTCAGCCTGTCTTTTCTCTGCCTCTGTCAAAGGGTATTTATAACAGAAAGTTGAGCAACACTGCTGGATGGGTCTCCGCTAGTGCAGAGGAGATTCCATCCCATTACTCCTGGTGCTCTAGATCTCTTGGCAGAGATAGCCTTGGCAAAAATCATAAAGTCGTAAAGAACTCCTTTTGGTTTGAAAGTGATAATAGAATAAAAGTGGGCTGGCGAGATAGCTCAGGGGACTAAGTGCCTGCTTAGGTAAGCGCAGGGATCAGAGTTCAATCCCCTGGATCATATGTTGCACTGAGCTGGACACCAAGACCAGGCATGTGGCACATGCCTGTAATCCCAGCTCTGAAAACAGGAGGATCACTATAAATCTGAGCTTCAGATTGAGATCTTTTACCAAATACATTAAAAAAATAAAAGTGAGATGACGTCGGGGAGATGGTATAACAGAGCTCTCCAGTTCTCCTCCCCACACCAAAATGCTTAATGACACAGCACCTTCCTGGCTCTGAGCTCCTTTTCCAGTATAAAAACAAAAATTGTCAATTTGAACAAATCTCCATATGAAACAATATCCTCGCAAGAACTCAGGAAACCAGGTGAAAGGTTACAGAACACAGGTGTAATACAGAAATAAGAAATATTGTATTGATGAGTATAAAAAGAAGTTTCCCATTAGTTGGATCACTTCTCCATAAATTCCACATAAAAAAGAATGAAGAAAAATATTTTCTTCTGGAAGATGTGAGTATTAATGCACTCTCAAAACTCAACATCAGGCCAGCCAGCCCAAGTAAAACCAAGTACTGGTATGCTCCCCATATCCTCAGACTCTAGAGCACTACTCAGAAACACAGCTTAGGGTCCCTGGTTCAAGGTCCCAGGTTCAATAGGGTCCATTTCTAAAATTGTCCCAGATCTCAAGCTCTGCACCACCCCCAGTGCCAGGCAAAGTGCAGTGGCTGTACCATTTAATATCACTTTGTACTAACCC